GTGGGGGGTGGGGGTAGGGGTGAGGGTAGCGGTGGGGCCCTCTCGACACCACCTACCTTTCAATGGTCCCGGCGTCCTGGCCCCGCCTCCCCATGCACTGGAGGATGGCCGCGTAGGACAGCAGGTCTGGGGTGAGGCCAGCATCCTTCACCATCAACAACACATACACCAGCTCCCTGAAGGCCCCCTGGGAGACCAAGCCAGGGTGAGGGTCTGGGGGGATGGCCCAACCTCTGCATTCCCCGCTGCTCCCTGGAGACCCCTTCTCTGTAGCCACCAGCTCAGCAGGGGACAGGGTGACCAAGCAGGAGTGGCCAGCTGGGCAGACAGATGCGTCCCCCTGGGGTTCTCACACACAGGCTCTACCTGCAGAGGCGGCCGCATGGCCTGCCAGGTGGGACTGTGTGAGGTGCACGTTCCTCTGGGAGGAGGCTTGTCAGTATTTTTAAATTTTCTTATTTTGAGAACACAAATGTGCCCAGTTTTGGGGTTTTGAAATTGATCCTTTCCAGGTCAGCCAACCTCAAGGTTTGCCTACTGCGTGATCTTTTTGAAGGACTTGGCTTCACTGTTCTCTACCGCTTCTGCCTTCCGTTTCATTTATTTGTTTTCAGTTTTGTAACTTCATTTGCTTGCTTTAGGTTTAGTGAGAAATTCTTTTTCTACTTTCCTAAGGTAAAAGGTGAAGTATTTCGTCTGAGATGTTTCACCTTTTCTTTTTTTTCCCCAAGACGGAGTCTTGCTCTGTTGCACAGGCTGGAGTGCAGTGGCATGATCTCGGCTCACTGCAACCTCTGCCTCCTGGGTTCAAGTCATTCTCCTGCCTCAGCCTCCTGAGTAGCTGGGATTACAGGCATGCACCACCACACCACTTAATTTTTTGTATTTTTAGTAGATACAGGGTTTCGTCATGCTGGCCAGGCTGGTCTTGAACTCCTAATACCGTGATCCACCAGCCTCAACCTCCCAAAGTGCTGGGATGACATGCGTGAACCACCATGCCGGGCCATCACCTTTCTTAATATAGGCATTTTATGGCTATAAATTGCTCTCTGAGCACTGCGTCCCAGAACTTCTGGTATATGATGTTTTCATTTTCATTATCTCCAAGTGCTTTCAAATTTCATACTTTACTTCTTCTTTGGAAATTTTTTTTTTTTGGATGCAGTCTCGCTCTGTTGCCCAGGCTGGAGTGCAGTGGCGCAATCTTGGCTCACTGAAAGCTCCGCCTCCTGGGTTCAAGCGATTCTCCTACCTCAGCCTCCCAAGCAGCTGGGGTTACAGGCGTGCACCGTCACATCCAACTAATTATTTTGTATTTTTAGTAGAAATGGGGTTTCGCCCTGTTGGCCAGGCTGGTCTCAAACTCCTGACCTCAGGGGATCCACCTGCCTTGGCCTCCCAATGTCCTGGGATTACAGGCATGAGCCACCGCACCCGGCCCCATTTGTTTTTCTTGGGAGAGAGGGGTGTCTTGCTCTGTTGCCCAGGCTGGTCTCAAACTCCTGGGCTCAAGCAATCCTCCTGCCTCGGCCTCCCAAAGTGCTGGGACTACAGGCATGAGCCACCATGCCTGGCCATGTATCCTTAAATTTCCCTTGCAATATCTTTTTTTTTTTAATCTAATTTTTGGCCAGGCACAGTGGCTCATGCCTGTAATCCCATCACTTTGGGAGGCCAAGGCGGGTGGATCACGAGTTCAGGAGCTTAAGACCAGCCAGGCCAACATAGTGAAACCCCGTCTCTACTAAAAATACAAAAAAAAAATTAGCTGAGTGTAGGGGCACATGCCTGTAATCCCAGCTACTTGGGAGCCTGAGGCAGGAGAATCACTTGAACGTGGAAGGCGGAAGTTACAGAGAGCTGGGATCTCACCACTGCGTTCCAGCCTGGGTGACAGAGACTGCGCTGTCGACACAGACTTGCAGGTTCTCTCTCTTTTTTTTCTTTTCTTGAGACGGAGTCTTGCTCTGTCGCCCAGGCTGGAGTGCAGTGGCCGGATCTCAGCTCACTGCAAGCTCCGCCTCCCAGATTTACGCCCTTCTCCTGCCTCAGCCTCCCGAGTAGCTGGGGCTACAGGCGCCCGCCACCTCGCCCGGCTAGTTTTTTTCTATTTTTTAGTAGAGACGGGGTTTCACCCTGTTAGCCAGGATGGTCTCGATCTCCTGACCTCATGATCTGCCCGTCTCAGCCTCCCAAAGTGCTGGGATTATAGGCTTGAGCCACCGCGCCCGGCCTGGCTCTCTCTTTAAAAAATAAAAAATCTAGTTTTTTTTCTTGTATTCGTTTTTCGTGAGATCCCTGCTCTGAGCAATTTCTTCTTTGACCCAGTGGCTGCTTAAGAGTGGTCTTTAACTGTAACACACTATTTCAAAGGGAAAAAAATTCCCCTGCCTCCTCCCACCCCATAGCCCTGCAGTTTGAAGACATGCTGTGACACGAGCTGGCCACACACCAGAGACAAGAGTTTTGGGGCATTTTTTTTTTTTTTGAGACGGAGTCTCGCTCTGTCACCCAGGCTGGAGTGCAGTGGCACAATCTCGGCTCACTGCAAGCTCCGCCTCCCGTGTTCACGCCATTCTCCTGCCTCAGCCGCCTGAGCAGCTGGGACCACAGGCTCCCACCACTACGCCTGGCTAATTTTTTGTATTTTCAGTAGAGACGGGGTTTCACCGTGTTAGCCAGGATGGTCTTGATCTCCTGACCTTGTGATCCGCCCGCCTCGGCCTCCCAAAGTGCTGGGATTACAGGC